TTTATTTTTGTTGTTGAGTTCTTCGATCGAATTCTTTTAAATATGTTAATTTTAATTTTTTTTTTTTTTTAAAGTTTTCCCATTCAGACGTCTTTGCAGACGTTGGATACTTATTACTTATGGATGCGTCATGGAATGATTAGGATTGGTGACTGCGTGAGAACACTCTTAGAAAACACTTGTGCGTGTGTGTGTGTGGGTGAAATATCTTGAATGAAAGATTAAAAACGATGAAAGCGCCTCAAGGCGTCATGATCAGGTCTAGTTGATTAAATGAGGCCTGTGCCCCCCCCCCCCATCTCTCCCCCCCCCCATATCATTTTATTAAATTCGTTGTACACAACAAACACCAGGCTATCTGACAAACGTATTTGGAAAAACAAAAACAACAGATTGCCCGGCCTAAAACACACACACACACACACACTTATTTACGATTGGTCGAGACTAAATTTTTTTTGGTCACGCTAAGAGAAATGAATATTTCATTTCAGACAAACGGATATGCGTACGTGAAGTGCTCTGTTATATGTGTACATACGATTTTTGTACACGGATAAAAATGGTTGTTTAATGGGCTGAACCAATGACGAGTAATTATGGGGTTTAAATATGTATGTATGCCATGCTACCGTCTTTGCGAGACGATGGCGTAGCTATTGGACACTTCATCGAATGGCCTCCTGGGCCGATCTTGTGGGAGGGGAAGACTCGGCTGAGCGTCTCGCAGGAGAACCTTGACTCCTGATTAAATTTGGCATTCACGCAAGGACTGCGCGCATCTTCTGCCTGCTTGACGCGCCACAGAACTGCATGCTAGTCAGCTGGAACGATACTCAGCGATGATCTCCCATTCGCCGATTTCGATGTTGGCTTCCCTCGCGTTCCTTTTGTAAACGTCCTTTAACCGGCAAAGGTGCCTCTTTGCCAAGATTTCATATGATACAAACAATGGCAGCGGCAGTGCTTGGGAAGGAGATCCCATCGTGGAACGGGATCCCATCGGGGAACTGGATCCCTCCGGGTAACGGGATCCCACCGCAAAGTGGATCACACCGGGGATTGGATCCTACCGGGGAATGGGATCACAAATAAGACAAGGAACCCAACGGGTCACGGGATTCCATCGGGGAATGGGATCCAATCAGGGAACAGGATCCCATCAGCGAAAGGGATCCCGCTTGGGAATGTATCCAACCGAGGAATCGGATCAGAACAGAGAACGGGAACAAAATGGGGAACGGAATCCAATCGAAGAACGGGATCTCACTCTGGAACTGGATTCCAAAGGGGAATGGCGTCCTAATGGGATCCAAACAGAGAATGGGATCCCGCTACGGAGCGGGATCCCTTTATTTATAGGAAAACATTTCAATTTTAATTTAATTTTTTTTAACTTTACCGAGGTGCTTATTTTAACTGGCCCCTTCATTCCGATGCTAGAAGGCTGTAGAAGTTGTTTTTTTCAGAGTGCAATCCCGGTCAACACCGGGATATATATATTTGTATA